TTTCAAGCTGTGATCCGCGTAAAATTCGATCGAAGCACACTTGACACTAAACCTCAAAAAGCACCCGTTAGAAAAACTCTAAAAAAAAAAAAAACAAAAATAGATTCTTGAGGTCAAGGGTTAAGTATGAACCCACGTAAAAGTAAAGAAATACCTTACTTCCCACGTCTGGATGTCATAATAACTTTCCTTCTTTCTTTCCTTTCTTTTCCCTATCTTCTATAAGCTTTCATCATCAGCTAATCCCTTTTGCTTTTTGGACGGCTATCTGTCTTCTTTTTTCCACCTAATCTGTCAAACTTTCCACCTATAGATTCCTTTACCACCACCATTTTCTCGTCACCATAAATTGATCAGATCCGATCCCTCGTGACAACCTAGAGTAAAACGCGAATCTTTCGTATCAAGTTGGTTCTCTTATATCAAGAAACCAACCTCTGATACTCGTTATATTAACTTGCGATCGAGTCCAATGGCAACATCAAATGCTTATGCATTCCATAATTCATCTTCTCAAAGAGCAGTAGCAATGGTATTGGCTTTGGTATCTGCAATCGTGCTTTCGCCATTGTACATCGATCGAAGAGGAAGTGAATACCGATATGAAACGAAATGGAGTTCAGGGTTTGTGTTGCCTGTGGTTGTTGCAGGATTAATTGTCGCCATTAGGACTACCGCATCATCATCTACTTCAACTTCACGGGGAGGGACAAGATCAGCTCCGTTGTTTCCGTCTTCAGAGCCTTCGTCTGTGCTCAAAATTGGGAGTTCCTCTTGGGGACTTGCTGGCATTTTGGTCATGCTAATGCTCGTTCTATCATGGCAATCCTCGGTGCAACATTTCTTCTGGAGATAGAGGACTCGAAGAATTCGTCCAGCTGTTATATTTGGTCGTTAGTTTGCTTCTTTTTCAGCTGGTTCTGCCCCTTGAATCTCTGTAACTAGTTACCTAATAATACAAGTTAATGTATGTCAAATCATAATTGTACTCCGCCTTGAATGTAAGAGGAAGCATGTTTAATAATTCCCTGTCGTCTCGGACTCTCGGGGCCCAAATAAGTGAACTAAATCACGTATTTAGGCTTGGTCAAATCCAACCGATTATGTTGGAGGGCTTGAACCTTTTAGTGTCAGTAGCCAATTTCAAAATAATTTTTAAAAAACTTTTTTAAATTTTTATGGTCTTTTTAGATAATCCGATTTGTATACTCAATGATGACAATGGTCTATATTCTAAATGACTAAAACTCTTAACAATCTTTAAAAAAAAAATTATAAAAAAAAAACACTTAATTCACTATGTAATGGAGAATTTTATTCACCATCTAAAAGTCAAACAAAGAAAAGGTTTGTGGTCCACAAAGAGACCAGGTTCTATCACAATTTCTCCAAACTAACTGCGTCTAACAGACGGTATTACCAGTCCGGAGTGACCGATACCCAGCGACAAAAAAAAAAAAAAAAAAAAAACTGCGTCTAACAAGCTTCCCGCTACCAGTCGGCCCAAAAGCCGCGGCACATCAAGAAAGCCCACCGCCTTATTCCCACAAACCCAAATAAATCTTTCAAGGAACTCGAGAAATTCTGTCCCCGTCGTCGATTCGCACCTCGACCACCGCCTCGCAAACCACCGCCTTCGGCCCCATTCTGTCCCCGTCGCTGAAAATATTTGTCGCTCTCCCTTCATTTGCAGGAGGAAGAGGGACTAATAAGACGTAGCGCAATTCAATAAGGTCGCAATCCAGGTTCGCGGAGGTATGTTAGTAGTTGTATATTAGGACTTGCCTTAATTGCGATACTTTGGGGGCGTTTTGAATTGCTAAATGCGTAGAGAATGTTTAGCTTGCTAAAAGGTGTATGCTTATTTTGGGACTTAAAAGCTTGTTAGGCCTTTTAATGTCCTTATTCAAAGAAGTGGAACTCCACATGTTTTCTCATTTAAAGGATTATGTGGGTTTTGAAATAATTTTATGCAATCGTTTCTTCCACTTGATCAGGGTTGCTGTTGTAATCTCCCCAACCCCAACAAAAAAAAAAAAAAAATTTGTCTTTTGAGATAGGTTTAGGTTTAAGGTATGGCTCTTCAGTTGATGACATTAGTTGCTAAATCTGAGGTTTAAAGAATACGTAGGTTCCTTTCATTTTCTAGAGGAAATTGGGAACTGCAGCTGCTAAATATTTCCCAATTCCCATTGGACAGCTTAGCTAGTAAAAAATTGCTACAGTTTCATTATGCAGTTGTTATGCCCCTGTAAAAGCTATTTCATAAAGCTGATATATTTAGAATGTGATCTAGACTTTCATAATTTGGTTGTTATGTCCCCAAAAGTTTTAACGAATTACAGCTTCTTTAATATTTAAGAGTCGAACGGTCAGCTAGGATAGAAGAAACTTAAGCTCTATATAATTCTCCATTGCAACTTTATAAGGTTGGAAAGCCAAATTCTGACGACAGTAATACTAAGGTAGGCTTGAGCAGAGGTTTTAGTTTGATTGCAGAAAATGGGAGAGGGAGCAGGAGAGGAGGACATGCCGAGAGATGCAAAGATCGTGAAATCTCTGCTGAAATCAATGGGTGTGGAAGACTATGAGCCCCGTGTTATCCACCAATTCTTGGAACTTTGGTACAGGTACGCGGTGGATGTGCTGACGGATGCGCAGATTTACTCAGACCACGCTGACAAATCTGTGATCGATTCCGATGATGTCAAGCTTGCCATTCAGTCCAAAGTCAATTTCAGCTTCTCACAACCTCCTCCACGTGAGGTATATTCATTAAGTTAGTCCACAACTCGGTCAGCATCATAATAACTATTAGTACTAGTAGCAGCTGCAGTAATTTTCTCTCCTCTTTTTCTTGTGTGAGGATTTTAATTGATTGCTGAGAATTCAAGTTCTGTGCTTGTTAAGCCACTCGATCAATGCTGATTGGAGCTCAGATTGAATAAGATCAAGCACAATTCAAGTTTGTTACTGAAAATTAGAGTTAAATTTAAATTGAAAAATGAAAAAACAAGCTTGAAATCCTCCTGATTCCAACCTAACTATTATTCAGAAGCACCACACTGCCTGAGGAATTTATATAGCACCACACTGCCGAAGGAACAATATCAATTTCTTGGGATTTGCTGCTTTTACCAGCTCTACTTGTTTGAGTTGTTAATTCGTCTGAATTTTTCTTTTATTTGGTGGTTGTTGTTGTTGTCATTAGCAATTTATTCTCTTTATGGAACCTGGAAGATGACATGTGAGTTTTGAAGCGAAGTTGCAGTATTTAAAATTGTAATATTAGGAAAACTCCTCTTCCAACTGACATGCAAATAATATGTCATTGTACCAATCTTGTGTCCTTGCAGTGTACTTATAACATATTTGTATTGGTTACTGTTCAGGTCCTACTAGAGTTAGCTAGGAATAGAAACAAGATCCCTTTACCAAAATCAATTACCAGGCCTGGAATTCCACTTCCTCCTGAACAGGATACCCTGATCAATCCCAACTACCAATTTGCTATTACAAAGAAACAAAGCAAGCAAGCAATTGAGGAAGCAGAGGATGATGAAGAGGCTGCTGATCTTAATCCAAACCCTTCTCAAGAGCAAAGGATAGATGCTTCACAAGGCGCTCCTCAGGGTGTGTCTTTTCCAATTGGACCTAAACGATCAAGATGAGCTTTTCAGTCTCAATAGCTGTTGCTAAAAATCACACGGTACCCCATTGTGTGTTGGGGTGTATATATTTTTCTTCCCACCACAAAAGTTCCCAGGAAGATTAACATTTATCATGTCTATCTCTTGACTCCTTTCCTGTAAGCTGGGCTTGAGTGGCTGACCGTTGTTGATGCAATCTGGGGGGAGTATTGACCTGTAAAATTCATCCCTGAATTGAGACTCCAAAATGTACTCGGTACTTGGAAAAATCAACTGGAGAATTCTATGTATCCCGGATGCAGGATTGTTTCTTTGTATTTGTTAAATGATATGCTTTTAACGTTATTAACACTAGTGAACTTGCTTCCATCCTTGTTTGGATTGTATTTTTCTGGATTTTCTGTAAAAAAAATACTATAGCGATTTAATATTTGTAAGGTAAAAAGATATATGTGAGGTAAAAAGGTGAATGGAAAATGTGTTTATGCAAAACGTAACAAATTTTTTTTTTTTTGAAAAATTGCTGTCCAAACAATTTCCAGAATTTGTGTTCTTAATCATCGGCACTGCTTTGGGCTGATTGGTTGACTCTGCTTTAGTTTTGACAAGCTCTATATTTGACTAGAAATGATGATTTCTATGGTGGTTTTCAAGTTTAAAAGAGTCCCTGGCAAAATGAAAAAGTTCCATGGGAAATTCAAGCCAGGATACAAGTGGAAACCAATATGTGAGAAGGCGCTCACGGCCACGGTCGTACCAATTTTGGTCTCGAGCAGCGACAAGAGCTGCCTCACACCTCGAAGTTGCTACATCCATGTTCCATTGCAAACGGGTGGCTGCCTAACTTCAACCACCGCAGCTGCCTTCCCTTGGGATGGAAAACCCAGCTGTGGTAATTTTACAGCTCCATTTCAAGTAACTTCAACCACCGCATGGCTATGGTAATGTCACAGTTCCATATCAAGCAACTTCAACCATCACAACGCTGGCCGCATGCGAGACTTATCAGGAGATAACAAATTACCGGCTAGTGCTGATTTTCCTTTTAATCCATGTGCTGCAAAAAATTTTCCTATGGCCACAGCACCCTGATCCCAAACAGAACCAGAGAATTCTTACAGGATAAATAATCTTTACCTTGTTTGTCTACATACATGATACATGTGAATGTTTGCAAAAGTCGCATCATCTTCTTATTAGTTTTGGTTATTGGTTAACAAGTTTGGCATTTGGTTTAACAAGTCGTGTCGACTAACAAAACTGGAAGGCACCATGATTAGCAACTAATGCTGGTATCTAAAAGACAAGGCAGCACGTTCCATCAAATTCAGTTAGCCATTTATCTGAAGCGGTTCTGTACAAATGTTATGGTTCATATACAAGAATGAGCAATTTGTCCATGGTACCCTATTACTACGGGCAAAGTACCAGAACGGGTCAGCTTCTCAAGCCAATCATTGAACTACCAGAAGACACCGTACTTGATACGGGGAGCCCCCTGTCGTACATGCGCTGAATCTCCTCTCTATACTCCATCAATGATTTATCTGGTATTGCTGGAGTTAATTCCACAACGTCTCCCATTTTTAGCTTGCACATGGGGTCACTGATAGTTGCATGGTTCAACCGGGGCCTAAGCTCCTCCTTCAGAGGAAATCCACAGTGCGTCCATCTAGAGCTCCCCCAACCTGTTCTCTCAAGCATGTCCTTGATGGTCGAGTTCGCTGAAAACTCCTGTACCGACATCTGTAACACCCAAAACCAGATTAGTCATGACATTTGTACCATCACAGGAGTAGGACTAAAATTTCAAAACCAAAGTTTCCTAAGTGAAACACCTAAACAGCAACCAAAGAGGGGGCCAAAGGATGAAAGATACGAACAAATTCTAGGAAAAGCTAAATCACCCAAAAATGCCACTAAAACACCAGAAATTAGCCACCTAAATCCTTTGCTTCTAAATTAATTCTTTTGCAATCATTGACAACTAAATTAGATATACAAACTACTGAAAGCATCAACAATGAACCTTATCATTCTCAATCATAATCACAAAAACAGGTCCATCTGGGCCACAATAAGGTCTGCAAGAGTAAGGGCAATCTTCTGAATGAGAAGGAAATTTGCAAGGTGGCTTCAAAGAATCAGCGTAACCAATGGAGGAGCAGTCCTTGCTCATTGTCTCACACTGCCAAGCAACAACCCAGCGTGCCCACTCAACCATCTGAAGAACAAAGGAAGAGAGTTTACAATCTCCTTCCTTGTATCTCCAGTGAGCAGCAAACCCGTACTCAGCCTGCAAGTGCATTTCCTTTGTTCTAATCTGAACTTCCAGAGGAACCATTCCCTCACCAATAACTACAGTGTGCAGGGATTGATACCTACAAATCATAATCCAGGTTAGCACATGCACCATGAAAAAACTTAAAAAAGTGACATCTCATCACCAAATCAAATTACCCATTAAACTTCGGGTGGGCTATGTAGTCCTTGAACCTTCCAGGTACTTCATGCCATAGTTGGCGAACAATATCCAAAGCTTTATAACACTCATCTTTATCCTCCACAATTAACCTTAAACCATGAATGTCATGAATTTCATCCATATTTAGCTTTTTCCTGGACATAGTTATATCATCACCATGTATTAAATGATATGAACAACAATATGCCAAAACATTGAATATAAGGGGAATACGTGTGTGTGCGAGATAGAAAGACAGAGAGAGAGCATACTTTAGCATTTTGGAATAGATGCTATACAAGCTTTTATGCCTCCCGGATAGATCATGAAAAGAAATGGCTCCCTCCTTAAGAGCTTGCTCCAATTTCTCCACATTGGAGGCTATCATTGCCTCGTCAAAGGTCTTCAAAAGTCTAGAGGACAATTCTTTGTGGTGATCTGGATATAAGTACTTAAAACAAAGGTTCTCTAGCTGCTCTTTCCATGTAGAGATTCCTAAACGGTTCGCCAGAGGAACAAATATTTCCAAGGTTTCCTTAGCAAATCTCTGCTGCTTAACTAAAGGTAACACATTCAACGTCATCATATTATGCAACCGATCAGCCAATTTAATGAGAACAGCCCTAGCATCTGCCATTGCAAGGAACATTGTATGCAATCGATCAGCCTCAACAGTTTTACAAGCAGTATTGTTCTCACGTGCGAGCTTGCTCAATTGGCTCAGTTTAGACACCTATAAGAGACCAAAGCTAGATGAGTGCGCAAGCCAAAAATATCTAATATAAAGTCAATATCTAGCATCATTCTGCATAATTCCCAAGACAACAAAGAAACAGACACCGACTACCTTATGAAACTATTAATTTTGCCTCATACATGATAAACTTAAATTTCTAGAACTACAAAATTCCTGCATTAACTTGAGTTGATCAGCATGTAGTTAGCGTTTAAGAAAGCTCCTTCCATTTTTCTTATTCACCTCAAAACATTTTCTTTGACTGCTAATAGATGGTGACACTCATTTCATAACCAATGACAACAGAACCTAAGGACTGTGGCTACCTGGAAATTCATAGAGGTTGAAGTGGAATTCAACAACAACCCTGGGTCCATAAATCTATTCAAAGCGTCCCAAGCAAAGAAACCTTCCAAGAGAAGTTGTCATTTTGTAAACATTACCAGTAGAATGGTAAAGAAACATGCACTACTCATTGGGAAAGCAAAATTTGAGGGAACCAAAAGAATAGGCCCCGTTTGGATTGCATTTTTTTGGATTTTCTGTAGAAAAATTACTATAGCGATTTGATATATGTGAGGTAAAAAGGTGATACGGAAATGTGTTCACGAAAACGAAATATTTTTTCTGAGGAAAATCGCAATCCAAGAGGTGTAGCGATTTGATAAGCATTTCAATAGCAAGAAGTCCATAAAAAAGAAAAGTTCATACCCCTTCAACTAAATCTGCCACCCCAGCACCAAATGTCTGGAAAATATACTCATACGTGACAAAAGCATCATCAAGTGTGTCATGCAGCAACCCTGCAGCAACAACTGTGGAATTAGCACCAATCATTGCCAGCAAAACCGCCGTTTCCACACAATGCTGTAAATAAGGATCTCCACTTGCCCGCACCTGCAAAATCAGAGACACAGTTTCTCAATCCAGTGATTCCATAAAGAAAGCATTTTTTCGACTACCGAATCTAGTATTCACATGTAATGTATATACCTGTCCTCTATGAGCTTTCTCAGCTTCATAAAAAGCGTTTACGACGAAATCGTCATAAAATATCTTATGCCTGTACTGTGCGTTCAAAAGCATATCTTTAGCACGAGGATCTACACTAGATTCTGTGAAATTATCCTCCATATTAAATGTCAGCTCATCTACCAAACCAGATGATGTAGAACCAACGCTGTCATGAAGTTGAAAAGACGGCGAATCATAATCGACGCAGGACCCTAAAGCATGCCGGACAAACCGATGAAACAAACCCCCACTACCGGATCGAATGGAGCTCATATTATCCCCCATTCTCATGGGAGGACTCCTTGACGTCGAAGCGGACCCAATTCCATTGCCACTACTACAGCAAGAGACCGGACCCTGAAGCACGGACACAGGGCTCTGATAACACTGATCTCGCTTCATGGACGAGCTCAACGACGAGTACCGAAATGAACCGCAGCTCAACTCTTCACCCCCTCTATCATGCCACAAGGAGGACGACAATTCGTCCGCAGTAGTCGAATAAGTCGCGTGTTTTACCGCCGGTTGAGACGATAGCAGCAGGGAAAGTCCTCCGACGATCGGCTTCTGCGACGGCGACGGAGACGCCGTGGACGACGGCGGCGGAGATGATCGACTGTTCAAATCAAACTCGTAGGAGGCATGCGAGTTGATCTGGCAAGGATGTGGCGTCGAGCAGACACTGCTGGGTGGACTTGCGTACAGAGCAATTGTCGGAACAGGCATAATTGAAGCTTAATTTCAAATCTCCTAATACTAACCCTAGAATTTATTTACTGTAATTTTTTCAGCTTCTTATTTATTTAAATAAATAAAAGAATCGTCAAATCTACAAACGACTAATGCAATTAAAAAAAGAAAAGAAGATAGAAAAAGAGCCTAATAAATGTAATTGGAGAGATTGTGAGTCGATTATACAGTATTTACAAGCAATTTTATAGAGATCTGTTGATTGAAGGGCGGGCTGGAATGGAACAAAACAAGAGTCAAGATAGCGAAGTTTGGAAGTTTCAAAGAGGAATTCGGAACCCTAATTTCGTTTGGCGAAGAAAGAAAGTCGGAGACGTTTTTGGGTTGGTGGGGGGTGGGGCGTGATTCCTCTCGCTTCTCGACTCTCGCGTAGTTTCTGTTTCTCTTCTTCTTCTTCTCCTTCTCGTTCGACTGTGACGGATGGGATGATTTTTGTAACGTGATTTAATTCGGGGAAATTGGAAAATTCGGTATTGTCTTTTCTGGGTCTCTAACCGGGGGAAATGCTTTGTGGAAGGACGAGAATAGCCTTCAGGAATACCTGAAATAACTGAATTTTGCCGCGGTTGATAACACTCCGATGCGTGGGAAATTTTCTGCAAGTGGAACGCAATCTCGTTAATCTTGGCATCTTTAAGTATCACCTTTTTCTTTTCTTTTCTTTTCTTTTCTTTTCTTTTCCCCCTTTTAGGAGGAGATGATATTTGAGGAGCCGGGACCTTTAATTCATGATGTCTCTGCTTTAATCACTAAATTAAAAAAGACATTTTAAGTATCATTTAACTGCATGTAATTCTATTTTTTGTAGTATTTTTGACAAAATCAAACAAAAATTCATAAGAGCGGATGCATCTAAAAATTAAAAGTTGAAATTTAAATTTATTAAATTATTGGATACTAAATCTATACATTTAAATGTATATCACACAATTGATTAATGTTAGAATTACGATTATTATTATGAACTCGTGCCTTTATTCTAAAAATTGTTCTCGATGTTCATAAAGATTTTTTTAATTTATGTATATATATGTGTGTGTTCTAAGAGTTAATTAGTCTTAGGTTACTTTTTTGTCGAAGTAAATTTCAAATTTTATCATGATAAAATTTATGACAAAAAGGTTACTTACCTTGACGATTTTGTAGTGGTTGACAATAAATAATTCATCGAACCTTCGATCCCCGATCAAGTCTACAGTGCAGCAGCGTTTCTGCCGTCGTCGAAGCAGTGGTAGTAATGATTGAATAATGTACATTGAAATGGATAGAAAATAATAATAATTAAAACAGTAGCGATTTGGATAAGGAAGGAGCATTATAATATGACTTGGTGTGACTGAATTGCATAATTTAATGCCTGAGTGGATATGGCTGTTATTTGCGAAAATGTGAATGACGAACCGCGACAACAAAATAAAATTATTGAATAGGTGGATGTAACGTAACAACATTAGACCTAACATATATACATATATATGTCAGGGTTTAATTTTTTATACATCAATAATATAATAATTTTTTTACACTGACAACTTTAGATACATATCACGTATGTATAATTTGAATTTATATTATGTACTATGATATAAATTTGTCAGTGTAAAAAAAAATTATATACTGACAGTATATATAAAAAATATATATCCATATATTAGACCCTCAAATTAACAACCGTTACAAAAAAAAAAATTAATCAACGTAACTCGTGTATAAGGGGAATTATGTAATCTTCAAATTTTGATATTATTTGGAAAGCTTAGACAATTGTTAATCGCATCAGTCCTGTCCACGAAGCATTGGAGTTGAACGTTTCATGTTTGAAGCTCCCAAGCTGGCTTTGAGGGTCTGCATAATTGATATATTTGTTCCCTCCCTCCCTCCCATTACAAGTTAAGATTTGCGAGAATCCTTTTTTATTAGAAAACAGAATAAGGAAGAAAAGGGTTGGCTGGAATCTGAGAGAATTTGAAGCAAAGGCACTAAGGCCAGAGAGCAGATTCGTGAGGGTTATTACTAGCATGAACATCGACGTCTCGTTTCTTTAATTGCACTACTTCTTAATGCTACGAAAACGGTACTTATTTTTCTTGTACAAGGAGACTTCGCCCGGGCACGGCTCCATTGGCCGGCGCTTGGGGCAATTGTACCAGTACTATTTTTACTACTACTACTACGATTATACAAGTACTAATTGGGTTTCGTGGCATTGCGGGAATTTCGCAGTTGAAGGAAGCACGTGGCGTACTACGTGGTCAGCTTTGGCGGCAAACAAATGTTCCGCTCCTTTGCTGTACTGCTATTTTGTATGTTAACGGATGGCACTTGACAGTGATGTGGGGGCGAGGGCGGGGGGACCGCACGCATAGGAATCTAATCTGAGCTACCGGAGGGACTTCTCTTGAGTCTTGATACACTTTTTTTTTTTTTTTTTTATCTATTGTCGTCATTCTATATCTATTTCTACTCGTACTCCTAATTTTGCTTATATTAGAGGGAGGTGATCCAATAGAATCACAGAAAATCGATGAGAAATTAATCACCATCGAATCATATGTATCTAAGCACATCACATCTAATGGATCTAAGCATGCGTCTTACTGGACTGGAAGGTACTAACAAAAGTTGCTTAACCTACTGCTAAATCTATAAATCCTACTGCTAATTGACTTACTCATCCTGACATTGTAGACTTTTGGAGTTTCTCATGTCAAAAAAAAAAAAAAGGCTTTTGGGGTTTCTTTTTTTTTCCTCGATATATTAGTGCATTAGACAAGGGCAAGAACCAAAAACTAGTAGATTGGTTGCCTACTTTCCTTGAGTCGCGCCATGCCTTGTTTTTTCTTTTAAACTTTTGGTGTACGTACAAAGTGGAAACCAACGGTAGCAGATCAACGATACAGATTCCATGATTAAATTGACAATGGACTCTAAGCGCCTTTTTTCGCTGACCGTGTCGGCGTGTCCTACATGATGACTAAAGGAAGCCGGGCGGGGGAGGAATGTTCCGTCATCACACGCAATTAACGGCTGGCCACTGTGGCTGTCTCCCCTTTGCTCGTCTTGTATTTAGCAGAGTGTATTTTGGTGACTTTGCTCTCCGGGGGGGCTGGTTCACATCTTGGGATAAGTATTTGTTTAAATCAGCTTTAGGGTGGGAAATAATTGCTCAATCCGTGCATTTCTGTTCATATTGGCCATTACATTTGTGTTTGAGAAATGGTTAAAATGAAATTGAGCTGTTCTGACACTGAAGAAGTTTAGACAGTGAGAAAGGACCGAAACCCCGGGTTAGGTGTCGTACACTTTTACGCACTCAGCAAACGGGACGTCATTTCTCTTCTTTCTTTTCTCTTTCAGTTTCAGCGGCCTCCTTAATGGCTTCGTTTGGGAGCGGAGGATTTGGACAGAAAAGAAAGGGAAAGAAGAGAAAGTTCGTTTAGCTTTTCTTTCATTTGTTAGTTTTTAGTAGGAAAGAAAAGAAGGGAAATGGAATGATTTAAGAGGATGAATAGTATGTAAAATTTTTCCTTCCAAATTGGAGAGAAATGGAGAGAAAGTTGGAAGAAGCTTATGAAAGTTTTTTAAAATACCCATTTTATCCTTAAAAATGTCTTGAACAAATATTTAATGACTTTCATATCCAAAATCATTCCACTAATTCTCAAAACTCCCAAACAATATAACAATCCCTTCTCTTCTCTTCTCTTCTCTCATAACTTAAGTTTTCCCTTCTTTTCTTTTCTATCCTAAACTCCCAAACTTAGCCTAAATTTCTCGTTTTACATTTTTTTTTTTTGGGTATATGAGGTTTTAGATCGTATTTGGAAAATGATGGATGATGCCAAAGTCCACGTGAATGCGTGTGGAGATCCAATTGCGTTGCGTAGACCCAATGGTTGCAAAACGTGCAAGCTATTTACCATGTGTGTGGAGTCCGTCCGGGGACCTGGGCAGGCCTAAGCTTCTCTGCCACGCAACTCTCCCCTCCACCAGTATAAAGTAGTATAAACCAATGCCTCGTTATCAGAACACGAATAATTCGACAAAACCAATCCATTTTTATGTAGTTAAGACCGATCATCTCGGGTTAAAAATTGAATTCAAGTTTGAACGCATTTGAACATTGACATTTTTTTTTTAAAGCAGTAAGTAATGCGTTTAAATGGCATTTTTATCTATCCTCAATAATATTTCACTTGCATCACAAACATAATTTATAAATAATTTTTTATTTTACAAACATCACATTTTAAAAAAATATTACAAATTTTACAAATATAGAATAATAACATTTTACAAATTTTGATAATCTAGTAGCTTTTTTTTATTTTTTTTTTTGAAGGAAGAATCGAGTAGCTTTACTATCGACATATAGTTGAAATGACCCAAAACATATTCTAGTAGCTTTACTACCACAATCAAAACATAAGCCCTATGCATTTCTACTGCTTACCACCGTACAAGTTAACTAAAATGCTAGTAAGTTTTTACCCGCTAAAATATGAAAAGTGTATGTATTGGGTTATTGCTTCTGATTTCACCGTTAATTCTATCGGATCTAAGAATCTGCATAATTCACGAAACATACTATTGATAGATGAGTAATCAAAACTTCATTATTCAAAAATTTTAGTAAATACCGTCATTTAATGAGAGTTGATTCTTTTTTTACCATCAATTCAAGTTCCCATAAAATTGTACTCTAATTAATGTGAGGGTATTTTAGGAAAATAGTTACCTAAATTGATTGTTCCAACAAAGTTAACTACTTTTTATTAAACTGTGTGAAAAAAGAAACAGTACTATCAAAGTGGGACGGAGGAAGTGGTAAGTACCGCTCGGGCAATCACCATTAGGAAACTTGTAAAATGGGTTTGTTTTTGACAAATATTTGACGCTCCTTAATGTTAGTTCTCAGGATTCAAGATTTAGTTCGTCGGTATTAATATGAGTCTGCAGAAATAGTTGCTTATTAGAATAAATCTTCCGAGACATAATTTCATTTCACAAAATCATCATGTTTTCCGTTTCATCTCATACTAGTAACAAGTCCATCGTAAAGAATTTGTTCTGCAATATTTCTGCACGAACAACATCCATCGAAGTAGTCAACTAATGGAAGTTAATGATACATTGGTAGGTCAAGTAACTATAAGTAGCCTCTTATCACATGTTCCCATGTATTTCCTTATTTTTTGGCATACAATCCTGATGACTTCTATCCTTTTTTGCGGGGTTCGTGGATAATGGAAGAAATATTGGTCTTTCAGCTGAAACGTTCGACCAGTTGCACTATTCCACTATTGGGCCTCAAGCCAGAGTTCAACTTCAAGCAGGCCTTTTAAAAACTTTACAAGTTCACTGTCACTCCTCTTATACTTGTAAAACACGAGGAAAATCGTTCAAAATATCTATTGTT